TTCATAACAATTGTCATGCTTTTAATACAGCCACTTGTATGTGTGTGTGTTCTTTTGTTTGTTTGTTTTGTTGTACTGAGCTGTATGCACACTGATGCTTTTTTACACAACTGAAGTTCCTAACAGATAAATAAAGATATTTGAAATTGGGTCTTGCAGACTGCAGACAGATACTATTGGTCCAACTGGCAAACGAGACCTTGTGCTGAGCTCAGCTTGGCCGAGTGCAGATATGCTCTTGTGCAGAGCTACACATAGACAATGAATGGTCTTGACAGCAGCGCGTAGCCCCCACCGCGTCCTGTCTGAAAGTCCTTTAGTCTTTTAGTTTTGTGTTCAAAATATGTCTAAAAGAAAAGGCGAGAGTAATTTGAGAATCAACAGATCAGTTTTAAACACTGACATTATAATGTACATCAGGTCGGATACAATGAGCTGTAGTTATTTTTGAAATATCGCGCCAAGCCCCGCACAGTCACCCAGCCCCCACAGCACTGCAGCCGCAAGTCCAACAGCAATCACTGAGAGCACTATAGCGCTGCCCTCTGCTGCTCTTCTAGCCGTCTTTAACTGTTCTTCATTCAGTGCTTTTGTTTCCTCTTCTAATTCTTTTTTAAGAGCTTCTTTCAGCTCTTTCGCCTTCTTCGTGTCTTTCTTAGCTTCCTTTAACTTTTGCTCATATTTTTGCTCTATTTTCCTCTTTAGTTCCTCCCTCTCTTTGCACATTTCCTCTTCTTTCTCTTTCAGGATTCTCTGTTTCTTCTCTTCAATCGCCCTCTCTGCCTCCTGAAACATCTCAGAGGTGTAATGGTTTCCTGTGTTCTTTTCTGTTATATTTTTGATCTTGTTGAGCAGCTCTCTGATCTGAGAACTATCAGAGAGGTTGTTATCAAAGACGTGGTACTGGTTGTTACATTTGGCCACAAGCTCCTGCAGGTCTTCGCTTTTCTTCAAGAACTCCTTGATAGGTTTCCCTCTGAGCTGGTCACCATGGGTAAAGAGAACCATGCTGTATTTGTTTGCTTCCTCTCCAAAGATTTTCTGAATCTTCTCCACCGTCTTTTTTTCTTCTTCTGTGAGTCGGCCCAGTTTGATGATAATCAGAAAGATATGTGGTCCAGGAGAAGCATAAGCCATACACTGGATTATATTTCTACGTGTCGTCTCTTCGTCTGTCTTGGTGTCAAACAGACCTGGAGTGTTGATGACAGAAACCTTCTGTCCATCCAGCTCACCATACGCCTTAGCGCAGCCTTCGGTCACAGATTTAAAGGAGAAACTTGATTTGAATTCACCTCAAATATTGAAGGTATATACACTCAGATAAGTCAATAAATACTATTGTGTGACAAGCATGTTTATTAGTAACCACTTCATTTCTTAACATTGAATTAAATTCAAACGGTGAATTTCACAGCAAACTGACAACAGTATTATATCAGTAACCAAAAAGCACTTATAATTCAGTCATCATTTACTGACATTAATACCTATGGAAGGTTGGGTTAACTTTAAGTCCACCTAACACTGCTGGACTTTCACAAGAAATGGTGTTGCAGTCATTGCACATACAATTCAAGTGAATGTGGACCAGGACTCACACTTACTGTGATTTGTATTTGTCACCCAACAACTGCAACGTCATTATGTTCATGTGTGAATTTCTACTTATGTCATGATTGTAAACATTTTAATGACTTTAAAAGATGTTGTATAATCACAATTGAATTTGTGATGTCACATTTCAGAAGTGTTTGAGACGGGCATTTTCAACATAATGTGTCCTGTACCATGTCAAGTACCATGACATATTCACAATACATCACCCTTGTTCACAGGACTTCCAGGCTCTGTCCACGATGCCAGGGTCCTGCGGTGGAGTTCTCTGTACGTACCCCCTCATGGCTGGTGTATTGTTGGGGATGGGGGTATCCCTGCCTGGCTGCACCAATCAGCCTGATGACCCCATTCAGGGAGCCGGTGCAAAACCCTGTTCATGCACGATACAACCAGCATCATGCCAAAGCGCGGTGGCGCAGCATCTTCCTCAAGGCCCTGGAGGTGAGAGACAGCATTAATGTGTAAATCTAAGTACACACTAGTTGAATAAGTGCTGAGCAGTGGCTATTAAATATAAGCAGCAAAGTAATACAGGTATGGACATTCTGAGACATAATGAAAACAAAAGAGCAGCTTAATGCAAGCTATTCAATCATGTTTACTTTCATTATACAGCTACATTAAACTTTTTCCTGTAGATCAAGCCAACCTTTGTTCCTGCAGTGGTGTCGACCTGTGTCTTCCTCCACAACCTCTCCATCAACAATGGGGATTTGGTGGAGCCAGAGGTGGAGGAGGGGGCCTTCCATGACCAGGGTGATGACCACTGGAACCACCCTGATGATCAAATGCCAGGGGACAACATGAGGAACAGGCTGGCAGCAGATGTTTCTGCACCTATTGGGGTCATCCAAGCACTGGAGGACCATAACTACTAACATATATATATATTATCATTTCCACTATTTTTATTTATGGAGATTTTGGTTTTGTTTGTTCACAGATATAATTTTTCATGAGCATGTTCACATTTTCTGTTAATAAAAGTGCCTGTTTCACATTTTGCCTATTTGGAGTGTCTGTGACTATGTTTTAGTAGTTTCTGTACAGGGGAGGGAGGAGAGACCACCACTACATCCTGAAGAGTCAATGGTGACCGGACGTGTTATTGAAGGCCTCCGACCCAGTGCCTCGTCCATCAGGGCATACCATTTCCAGGATGCAGCGGTGGCCTCTCCTCCCTCCATGTTCACTCGTGTTTTGGACACACACACACACACACACACACACACACACACACACACACGCACGCACGCACGCACTTCTGTAAAAGCAAAATTAAAGTCATTGCAGGTGATCTCACACCTTTGGAAGGCAGCAGCTTACTTATCCCTACCTTGTATTGTTGTTTGAGGTTCTCCCACTTGTGCTTGATCTTCCCGTCCGCGTCCACTTTCCCACCAGAGAACGCTCTTTCACAAACTCTCTATCACAACACAACAGTAAAAGCTTATTTGTATGAGAACACTGGTACCTCCAAAGATGTAACTTTATTACACTACTTTCTGTAGATAAGTGAACTTACCTAGCAGCTAAGCTCACTTAAGAACAATAATAACTTAACGTCCACTGACTCAAATCCCTTTTGGGATCATTCCTGTGGCCACTGAATAGGCATTTCGTTGGCGGTTCGCCAACAGATAAGGGCCTATTGTGTCCTGTTCTGTCCCTTAATTCATTTAATAAATATACGTTACTGTGTCGTAATAGTAAAGTTGCCTGTGTATATACGGTGATGGCATGCTAGCGTTGCCGTCGTTGTGATATTTAGCATTACGTTAGCAGGCATAACTTCATTACTGATAGTTGGTACTTACATTTATATTCAGTCTCCGCCGCTGTCGAAATACTGCGCTTCGCCGTTTCTCTGACTGTAAATATTGACCTGCCACTTTGCATTCTGGGAGACAGTACGCGAGGTAGACTGGTCCGATGCATACTGTACATTTTTCCCAAATCAGTATGACATCCTGGTATTTTTGGCATACTGTGGATCTCGCAGTTGTTCGCATACTGCATACTGCATTTTGGCCAAATCAGTACGTACTAGTATTGTACACGGTTTTGAAAATAGCCATAGTGTTTGCTTTAGAATGTTTGGTTTGCTTTAGATTAGCTTGTAATAGCTGTTGTTGATTGAGTTTAATTGATTTTGATTGATGTGGCTTTGTTAATTAAACTGTTAGAATTGAAGAAAGCAGTTGTTGGTGATTACTTGTGTATATGCATTGTAATACAGCTGGGTGCGAGGGCTAATGTACAGATTCACGCCTTCCATTTATTGCTAAAGGCAATTCTGCAATAGTGCTCGGGCATGGTACGAAAAAATCATGCCTTATATGAAAACGCCCTCAGAACTATGCATAATTAAGGGCGTGGCACTTTTTACTGACAGGAGGGCACTTGTAGGTTTTTTTGCTAAGAGGCTAAAGGCCCCCACAATTCCACCTCTTAGCCGGTTCCTATGATGACCAAAAGTTTGAGACAGCATCTCCAATATATCGACAGCAACTGTTTGGATTCAAAACTCCACTCCAGAAAGTAATGGGTGACGCATTTTCATTTCATGAATTAAAATAACTGGTGGTATTTCTTGTAAACGCTGAGTGTTGGTGTTAGCAGAGTTTGTTGCAGGAGGACTGGATTTTCAAGGTGTACAAGATTCTTGAAAACAAAAAGAGTTGATCAAGGGCGTGAATCACTTTATCGCTGCTGGGAGGGGTGAACATGGTGAGGCTCTGTGCATTTATAAGAAGTGTTGTCACATACAGACTTCTTCTTCAGCTTACAAACACACCAGCTACTCTCTCCAGCACCCAACTTTGGCTGTCAATAAAGGTAAGTCAGTAGATTTAATTTATAAAGTAGCATACACCTTGTATCTAAGTTTATGTTTATAGAGGGACCATTAAATGATTCATAATGCACAAATATTAAACCGTTCTAAAGGGGCTACAATGGAAAAATATATTTCTCAAAACATCAGAATTTCTAACAGGCTGGGGGATGAAATCCAAAACTCAGTTTGCCTGCATCTCTAACGTAGACAATCTTCTCTGATATGAATTTAATGGGAACATTAATGGAAACATCTGCAGTATGATTCAACAGCATGAAGTGTCCAAAACTAACCTGTGACGCTCTCTCAAAGAATTTTAACCAGAACTTATCATCTTAAAAAAAAGAGGGATTTATTGTATTAGACTGGTTTTGTAGTGCGTATGTGTAACTTAAGCAGTTTCCTCGTTACCCTCCTAATAATTGCTTATTGATAGAAAGTTATGAAGTTGTTGAGCTATGAATTATGAATTATGAGCAAGCGGCCCGCGAGTGGTTGCCATTGTTGCTTCTTCTTTCTGCTTTTTGGCAGATTTGCGAACCAGCTATGTCAAGTGCAAACTGCTGTATCGGACTGTGTTCATACACAAGTGTACTCGAGCATGGAGCAATGTTACTGATGTGAACACAGACCAGCTGGGAAGAGGGGAGGGGGGAGCAATAGTGCTCGGGCATGGTACGAAGAAATTGTGCCTTTTGGGAAAACGCCCTTGAAGATTCGCAAGATTGAGGACGTGGCTCGTTTGACTGGCAGGAGGGCACTCGTTTTTTTCTTGGAGGCTAAAGGCCCAAACAATTCCACCTCTTTGCCTGTTGCTATGGTGACCAAAAGTTAGATTGAGACAGCATCTCCAATATATGGGCTGCAATCGTTTGGCTTCAAAACTCCCCTTCAGAAAGTAATGCGCATTTTTCATTTCATGAATTAAAATAACTGGTGGTATTTCTTGTAAACGCTGAGTGGAGGTGTGAGCAGAGTTTGTTGCAGGAGGACTGGATATTCAAGGTGTGCAAGATTCTTGAAAACAAAGGAGGCAATCGAGGCCAAGGGCATAAATCACTTTTAGGTTTTGACTTGAATCATATGATCATGCAGAGTTAATGGGAAAAAGAGATAGCAGAGCAACTGAAGGCGACTGTAGAGAAGACACTTACAGCTAATTCAGGCTCAATTATAGAATTTAAAGCAACATGGAGGAATTTGGGGCTGCAGAGGGGTGCCTGTCTGGCTCATGTATTTGAAAAACAATTATAAAAAAAAAAAATATATATATATATATATATATATATATATTTATATATATATAAATATATATATAAATATATATATATATATATAAATAATTAACTTAAATTGAATGAACCTAAATAAATAAGCATATCATAGATAAAATTAGCCAGTACCGATAGTCACATGATATGCTAAAATCGGCCGATATTATCGTCTGACAGATTTATTGATCGGATTTGACTATAAAGCTCTCAATGACGACAGCCAGTATGCTACTAATGAACCTGCTAATAAGCAACTGGCTAATGGTGATTATTGTGACCTTAATCTAAAGTGTTACCGATGCTACAAACCACGAGTGGCTTTCTTTGCATTTTAATTTGGAACATTTCCTTTTTTTAGGTTTAAAGTGTGACCCTGAAACATTTAGAAGATCATGTGTGTTGCTGCTCTGTTGAGTTAGTTTGTAAAGTTAAACAAAAAGTGTTAACTATTTTTCAGTAGAAATAATAAAATAATCATTTAGAGCTAGCTAGACAATATCCTCTGGGCCCGTTTGGTCAAAGTTAATCCAACAGGATTAAAGTTATCAGATGAGTTTTTCTTGAATCTAAAATCTGGTTGTTCAAAAAAACAAAACAAAAATAACGGGATAATTGTATAACATCTGGTTTAGATAATCAAAGTTGTTCTTTCTTTTTTCCCATCCAATCAGAACCAACCATGTACAACAATGAAGAGATCCGGATCGTGATGGTGGGGAAGACCGGAGCTGGGAAGAGTGCAGCAGGAAACACCATCCTGGGACACGAGTGCTTTGAATCTGTTTTCTCCCCTGAATCTGTGACCAAGCAGTGTGCTAAGGTGTATGGTGAGCTGGATGGACAGAAGGTTTCTGTCATCGACACTCCAGGTCTGTTTGACACTGATACTGATGAAGAGACGACACGTAAAAATATCTCCCAGTGTATGGCTTATGCTTCTCCTGGACCACATATCTTTCTGATTGTCATCAAACTGAGCCAACTCACAGAAGAAGAAAAGAAGACGGTGGAGAAGATTCAGAAAATCTTTGGAAAGTCAGCAGACAAATACAGCATGGTTCTCTTTACCCATGGTGACCGGCTCAGTGGGACTATCGAGGAGTTCTTGAAGAAAAGCGAAGACCTGCAGAAGCTTGTGGCCAAATATAACGACCAGTACTACGTCTTTGATAACAACCTCTCTGATAGTTCTCAGAGCAGAGAGCTCCTCAACAAGATCAGAAATATAACAGAAAAGAACACAGGAAACCATTACACCACTGAGATGTTTCAGGAGGCAGAGAGGGCGATTGAAGAGGAGAAACAGAGAATCCTGAAAGAGAAAGAAGAGGAAATGTGCAAATTCAAGGAGGAACTGGAGAGGATAATAAAAGAAAAACATGAGAAAGAATTAAAAGCAGCGAAGAAAGAGATGGAAAAAGAACCAGCAGAAAAAATGAAAGCACTGGAGGAAGAACAGGAAGAGAAGGCTAGAAGAGAGGCAGAGAAGAGCCCTTCAGTGCTCGCAAAGATTGGTCGTGGACTTGCGGTGGTGGGGGCTGTGGTGGCGGTGGCGGCTGGGTTGGGTGGGTTGGTTGCGGGGGCTGTGGCGATATTTAAAAAATAACTACAGCTCATTGTATCCGACCTGATGTACATTATAATGTCAGTGTTTGAAAAAAAGGACGATTTTTATTTTCATCCACAAAATGTCATCAAAAATATAAAAGTTGTGAAAGTATGTGATGTTGAAAGATCAGAGTTATGCAATTGATGAATTTGTTTTTACCCGATGTGTTCTTTTCTTTTATTATCATTTAATCCATTTATCATTTAACTCATATGTCATATAGTCATAACTACTTTCTTTGCTTTTACATATCCTGTCAATCATGCCACGGCGCCTACGCACCTGTGAGGTCAGAACAAGTGTGCCATGCTTTGAGCAAAACCACATACAAACTCGTGGGTGTATAACGCTTCTGTGAATCTGCCTGGTTCACGGTCTTCAAGCTAAAACCACATATGAACTTGGTATCACCTGCGGATGTATCACGCGTCTGCTAATCTGCATTGTTGAGGTTTTACAGAATCTTGGAGAAAAGAGACAGTTTGGCTATAAAAGTGCTGTGGAAAAGCTTTAGTTCTTCTAAAGGGCTCCACATCACTCTGACTTTTAAATCCCCGTTTTGGGACTTAGTCTCTGAGACCAAGATCTTTTAAAACCTCAAGTGTCTACTCTCTGGAGTTTAAGCTTTTAAATTTGTATTTTACTTTTTACATTTTTATATTTTTACTTTTACTGTTTTGTATTTGCATTTGGAATATCTTTTGAAGTTTTTTCAATAAATTTTCTGAAGCTTTTTGAAATCATTTTCTGACTGAAATCATTCACACCACTAAGACCTGAGCCTCTCTTAAGGACGCCGCGTGAACCTCGGGAGGTAAGCATGAGCAGTCACACCACGGCACACTTCTACTCTCCGAGTGAGGAGGGTTGCAGTTAATCCCTCTCCGGGGGTGAGAGCCTCCGGGGGCTAATCTAGGGTCCTGAATCAAGGATTATACTTGAATCTAATGATTCTAGAAATGAATGTGAGACAGATAATCCTAGAGCTATGCGGTTATATAAGTCTTCTCTTCTCGACAGGGTGTTAGTGGAGTAATTTTACATAGCTCCAGTACTAGGAAAGAGTAGACTAGCAGCTGGTAGGGAGCGAGCCCTCACATAGTTCTAGGAAAGTTTTCTGTCCCACCCATTTGTGCAAAAAATCCCAAAACACACCAGTTATTGTGTAAATTGTATGTGTCCTGAGACAACATGTAAAGAGAGTTGTGGTGAAAGTGGTTTTAAAAACCAAATATCTCCCAAGCACCCCTAAAAGTGGCTGTATTCTCTTGTCCCACCCTCTCAATGGCCAGCTTTAATATCAAATGTAACAGTTAAAATATGTTTTTAAATTTACTTTCTTTTTTTTACATGATTTTATTAATATATTTATATAAAATATAAATTTAAAAAAATATATATAACACCATTTAGAAGATTGTAGTGGGCAGAAGATACCGATGACACAGATCTCAAACTTTCAGAACTAAGAGAGCCATTTCAAGCTTCGTGCCCACATCCATCAGGCTCATGAATGGCTGATCCATTTGTTCATTTATTTTTAACACCACTCTTTTAACCTTTCATAACAATTGTCATGCTTTTAATACAGCCACTTGTATGTGTGTGTGTTCTTTTGTTTGTTTGTTTTGTTGTGCTGAGCTGTATGCACACTGATGCTTTTTTTACACAACTGAAGTTCCTAACAGATAAATAAAGATATTTGAAATTGGGTCTTGCAGACTGCAGACAGATACTATTGGTCCAACTGGCAAACGAGACCTTGTGCTGAGCTCAGCTCGGCCGAGTGCAGATACGCTCTTGTGCAGAGCTACACATAGACAATGAATGGTCTTGACAGCAGCGCGTAGCCCCCACCGCGTCCTGTCTGAAAGTCCCTTTAGTCTTTTAGTTTTGTGTTCAAAATATGTCTAAAAGAAAAGGCGAGAGTAATTTGAGAATCAACAGATCAGTTTTAAACACTGACATTATAATGTACATCAGGTCGGATACAATGAGCTGTAGTTATTCTAATATCACCACAGCCCCCAAAACCCCCACATCCCCCACAGTCACCACAGCCTTCACAGCCCCCACAGTCACCACAGGCCCCACAGTCACCACCACAGCCACCACAGCCCCCACAGCCACTGCAGCCGCAAGTCCAACAGCAATCACTGAGAGCACTATAGCGCTGCCCTCTGCTGCTCTTCTAGCCGTCTTTAACTGTTCTTCATTCAGTGCTTTTGTTTCCTCTTCTAATTCTTTTTTAAGAGCTTCTTTCAGCTCTTTCGCCTTCTTCGTGTCTTTCTTAGCTTCCTTTAACTTTTGCTCATATTTTTGCTCTATTTTCCTCTTTAGTTCCTCCCTCTCTTTGCACATTTCCTCTTCTTTCTCTTTCAGGATTCTCTGTTTCTTCTCTTCAATCGCCCTCTCTGCCTCCTGAAACATCTCAGAGGTGTAATGGTTTCCTGTGTTCTTTTCTGTTATATTTTTGATCTTGTTGAGCAGCTCTCTGGTCTGAGAACTATCAGAGAGCTTGTTATCAAAGACGTGGTACTGGTCGTTACATTTGGCCACAAGCTCCTGCAGGTCTTCGCTTTTCTTCAAGAACTCCTCGATAGGTTTCCCACTGAGCTGGTCACCATGGGTAAAGAGAACCATGCTGTATTTGTTTGCTTCCTCTCCAAAGATTTTCGGACTGTGAGTCGGTCCAGTTTGATGACAATCAGAAAGATATGTGGTCCAGGAGAAGCATAAGCCATACACTGGATTATATTTCTACGTGTCGTCTCTTCGTCTGTCTTGGTGTCAAACAGACCTGGAGTGTCGATGACAGAAACCTTCTGTCCATCCAGCTCACCATACGCCTTAGCGCAGCCTTCGGTCACAGATTTAAAGGAGAACCTTGATTTGAATTCACCTCAAATATTGAAGGTATATACACTCAGATAAGTCAATAAATACTATTGTGTGACAAGCATGTTTATTAGTAACCACTTCATTTCTTAACATTGAATTAAATTCAAACGGTGAATTTCACAGCAAACTGACAACAGTATTATATCAGTAACCAAAAAGCACTTATAATTCAGTCATCATTTACTGACATTAATACCTATGGAAGGTTGGGTTAACTTTAAGTCCACCTAACACTGCTGGACTTTCACAAGAAATGGTGTTGCAGTCATTGCACATACAATTCAAGTGAATGTGGACCAGGACTCACACTTACTGTGATTTGTATTTGTCACCCAACAACTGCAACGTCATTATGTTCATGTGTGAATTTCTACTTATGTCATGATTGTAAACATTTTAATGACTTTAAAAGATGTTGTATAATCACAATTGAATTTGTGATGTCACATTTCAGAAGTGTTTGAGACGGGCATTTTCAACATAATGTGTCCTGTACCATGTCAAGTACCATGACATATTCACAATACATCACCCTTGTTCACAGGACTTCCAGGCTCTGTCCACGATGCCAGGGTCCTGCGGTGGAGTTCTCTGTACGTACCCCCTCATGGCTGGTGTATTGTTGGGGATGGGGGTATCCCTGCCTGGCTGCACCAATCAGCCTGATGACCCCATTCAGGGAGCCGGTGCAAAACCCTGTTCATGCACGATACAACCAGCATCATGCCAAAGCGCGGTGGCGCAGCATCTTCCTCAAGGCCCTGGAGGTGAGAGACAGCATTAATGTGTAAATCTAAGTACACACTAGTTGAATAAGTGCTGAGCAGTGGCTATTAAATATAAGCAGCAAAGTAATACAGGTATGGACATTCTGAGACTATAATGAAAACAAAAGAGCAGCTTAATGCAAGCTATTCAATCATGTTTACTTTCATTATACAGCTACATTAAACTTTTTCCTGTAGATCAAGCCAACCTTTGGTCCTGCAGTGGTGTCGACCTGTGTCTTCCTCCACAACCTCTCCATCAACAATGGGGATTTGGTGGAGCCAGAGGTGGAGGAGGGGGCCTTCCATGACCAGGGTGATGACCACTGGAACCACCCTGATGATCAAATGCCAGGGGACAACATGAGGAACAGGCTGGCAGCAGATGTTTCTGCACCTATTGGGGTCATCCAAGCACTGGAGGACCATAACTACTAACATATATATATATTATCATTTCCACTATTTTTATTTATGGAGATTTTGGTTTTGTTTGTTCACAGATATAATTTTTCATGAGCATGTTCACATTTTCTGTTAATAAAAGTGCCTGTTTCACATTTTGCCTATTTGGAGTGTCTGTGACTATGTTTTAGTAGTTTCTGTACAGGGGAGGGAGGAGAGACCACCACTACATCCTGAAGAGTCAATGGTGACCGGACGTGTTATTGAAGGCCTCCGACCCAGTGCCTCGTCCATCAGGGCATACCATTTCCAGGATGCAGCGGTGGCCTCTCCTCCCTCCATGTTCACTCGTGTTTTGGACACACACACACACACACACACACACACACACACACACACACACGCACGCACGCACGCACGCACTTCTGTAAAAGCAAAATTAAAGTCATTGCAGGTGATCTCACACCTTTGGAAGGCAGCAGCTTACTTATCCCTACCTTGTATTGTTGTTTGAGGTTCTCCCACTTGTGCTTGATCTTCCCGTCCGCGTCCACTTTCCCCACCAGAGAACGCTCTTTCACAAACTCTCTATCACAACACAACAGTAAAAGCTTATTTGTATGAGAACACTGGTACCTCCAAAGATGTAACTTTATTACACTACTTTCTGTAGATAAGTGAACTTACCTAGCAGCTAAGCTCACTTAAGAACAATAATAACTTAACGTCCACTGACTCAAATCCCTTTTGGGATCATTCCTGCGGCCACTGAATAGGCATTTCGTTGGTGGTTCGCCAACAGATAAGGGCCTATTGTGTCCTGTTCTGTCCCTTAATTCATTTAATAAATATACGTTACTGTGTCGTAATAGTAAAGTTGCCTGTGTATATACGGTGATGGCATGCTAGCGTTGCCGTCGTTGTGATATTTAGCATTACGTTAGCAGGCATAACTTCATGACTGATAATTGGTACTTACATTTATATTCAGTCTCCGCCGCTGTCGAAATACTGCGCTTTGCCATTTCTCTGACTGTAAATATTGACCTGCCACTTTGCATTCTGGGAGACAGTACGCGAGGTAGACTGGTCCGATGCATACTGTACATTTTTCCCAAATCAGTATGACATCCTGGTATTTTTGGCATACTGTGGATCTCGCAGTTGTTCACATACTGCATACTGCATACTGCATTTTGGCCAAATCAGTACGTACTAGTATTGTACACGGTTTTGAAAAGAGCCATAGTGTTTGCTTTAGAATGTTTGGTTTGCTTTAGATTAGCTTGTAATAGCTGTTGTTGATTGAGTTTAATTGATTTTGATTGATGTGGCTTTGTTAATTAAACTGTTAGAATTGAAGAAAGCAGTTGTTGGTGATTACTTGTGTATATGCATTGTAATACAGCTGGGTGCGAGGGCTAATGTACAGATTCACGCCTTCCATTTATTGCTAAAGGCAATTCTGCAATAGTGCTCGGGCATGGTACGAAAAAATCATGCCTTATATGAAAACGCCCTCAGAACTATGCATAATTAAG